GTGCATTATGGACTCCGGGGGGAAAAAATTGACCTAAATCAGTTGCCAAAAACCAACCACCATTCCGGACATTGTAGACCCTCTATACTATGGGCCATTAATGAAAAATACCATTGGCCAGATGAGAATTACACTACAGAGAGACTGAACCTAAGTAGAATAATCAGCAAAGTTCTCTAGAGAGAAAAAAACAAAACATAATTCTAGAAACAGAATTTTAAAAATACTATTTAAAATTCTGTAGTAGTCACATTTGGAAATGTTTATTGAGCTCACAACAATTCCCCCTTTACTGGGGACAGCTTTATCTCCTTTTCGAAGGTTCATGGGAGCCGGCCTTTAGCAGTTGCACCTACATCATGTGACTTCAAACTGGAGATAAATCTTTGTTAGCTCTAATCTTTGAGCTGGAGCAGTACCAATCCCAGATGGATTGTTCGAGCTCTGCCCCAGAGTGAGTAGCTACCGAGATGCTGGCAGCGGGCATAGCTCCATGGAGAGGTCTACAAACTCTTGGTTAGTGCTGAGATTTTTGTTCTAGGGTAATGCTGATATAACGCTGATAGTTGTTCCTAGTCCCTCTGGCCACACGTGGATGCCTGTAAATGTTTGTCATGAAGTGCATAAGCAAAATATTGATGCTTGTAAGAGAAAAAAAAGCTGAAGGAGAATAGATGTCTAAAATTACTGCTGCAGCTAAAACTCCAGAAAATTCATGGTTTGCTCTAATTTGCTGCCAAACTGCTAAGTTCTGGTTTACTTGGAAAGTTTCTTTATTTAGAAACTGAATCATGACCACATAATTTGTTTAACCTCCACAAAGCCTTGATATCATCTTTGATAGCCAAGCCCAAAGTTCCGCTACCTCTCTGGATGCAACAAGTTAGCTCTCTGCCATGATCTTGAAAGCATCATTTGGGAGCCAGTGGAGCACATGAAGTTGTCAAGAAAGAAAAGTCATCTATCCTCTCCACTTAGGAGTCCTCACCTTTCAGGGGAGAGGCTTAGCTCAGCCAATAGTCACTCTGTCATATGCACCATCAATGCTTGACCCTCTCACCTTTCATCATAATCACCTGGCAAAAATCCCAGTCTTGGTTAAACCTGTGGTAGGGAGATGAACATTGGTGAGAGGTACACAAGAACAAAATGGCTTGTCTCACATTACATGAATGATCACTGCCTTCAAGTGAAGCCTTAGTTCTGCCTGCCAAGTCCACTACATCCCCCTAATCTATTCACTCTTTCACTGACTTGGATGACTAATTAATTTGATCTCATCTTATTGCTTCTTGAACTCTAACATCTCTTTCTCCTCACTCTCAGCAGAAGACCTTGCTTCCCACTTGAGCATGAAAATGGAAACAATTGGATGAGAATGTTTTCATAAGCTTTCACAACCTCAGCAACCAGCCAGGTTTCACTGTACCCACACACTTGGACTTTCTTCTTAGTAAAAGTGAACCACATTCTTGTGTAAGACCAGCACCCACACCTGTGCATCTGATCCCACCATCATTCCTTCTCCCTCATTCAAGAACATACTCTGTCAAATGTTCCCCCATCAACTTGCATCATCTTTGAGATTATAGCCGATAAGGGCTGGCTTGTAAGTAACATGGGAGGATTTCTAGTGACAAAGAGATAAAAAAAAGTAATTCAGATATCTTTGGGCCCTCACCACAAACTCCGGAGAAAACAATGACAGAACGTATGTGAAACCCCTAACATTCTCGAGTCCCATACCAGCTCTGTCTCTGATCTTAATCAATGCTCTACAAAATCATAGGAACCCTTAAGACTCCATCAGCACAGACTGAAAAATGTATGCGTTGATGAGAAGTTCTTCTTTTTCCACAAAAGTGTTGCTTACAGTCAATGAATATTTAGTTTTGGCAACAAATTCTTCTGACATGCAACTCTGAGTTCAGTTTACTTTTAGATAATTGTTTTATTTTTAATGTGAAATACATTCTTTAGTATTCATTCAGCCTGGCTTTGTAAGAGATATATTATCTCTGAAGATATCTATCTTTCATGTACATTTAGCTGGGTATAAAATTTGAAGTTAAGAGTTCATTTTCTCTCAGCACTTTGAGAACATTATTACATTGTTTTATGATGTCTTTTGGCTGTTGATCCTTAGTTGGTAATCTGTCTACTATTTTATTGTTTTTTAATATTTACCTGTCTTCTCTCCTTTCTCTCTCTCTCATGTTTTGAAAGCCTACTGTAAAATAGTTGTTGGATTTTTATTTGTTTTTCTAACCTGAGGGCTCATGTCTTCAGTTCTTGAAAATTCTTATATATTTTATCTTTGAACATTCTTCTCACTTATTCTCTTTATTTTCCTCATTTAAAAATGCCTATTCGACATGTTTGGACACCTTCATTCTGTCTTTCATGTCCTTTAACCTCTCAAATATTTTTCCATTTTGTTCTCTGCATTAAATTTTATACGATTTCTTCAGATGTATTTTGGTTTATTGATTTTCTCTTCAACTGTGTCTAATCTGCTATAAAATTTATCCATTAGGTTTTTAAATTCTAATGGGTTATTTTCCTATTAGTCTTTCTTTTTGTTATCTCCTGTTTTTATTTACTCATATTACTTTTTTAATACTTTATATATTTTATAGTCTTTGTCTATATTATTTGTCTAAATTTATTATTATTTAGTTCTTGAGGTGGGTAATAGTCCCATTATATTTTGGTCTGCTAATTTTCTTTCATAGTTGACTTTTGATTGTGAGCTTAGCTGCTAGGAGGAATATATATAGGAATGGATGGATGGATAGATGATGGATGGATAGATGATAGATAGATGATAGATAGATAGATAGATAGATAGATAGATAGATAGATAGATAGATAGATAGATAGATAGATAGATAGATGATAGACAGATAGATGATAGACAGATAGATGATAGATAGATAGATAATCTTTGTGCCTTGTATTCTTGACATATTTCTCTGTGGGGCTCCAGGATAATAGTAGTGAGAAGAGAAAGTGGAGAAAGAGGAAGAGGAGTGTTATGACAGTAAGTAATGTTTTTTGTGTGGGTGGGTGCTTTTTTTTTTTTTTTTTTAACTCTTAATTTTTCAGGCATTGTTCTATGAACTTTCTTTATAGTAATAAATTTAACCCTCCAAATAACCATACACATATACAGTTATTATCTCCATTTTTATGGATGGAAAACTGAGGAGGAAAATTTAAGTATATGGTGCAAGGTCACACAGCTATGGCAGAGCCAGTATTCGAACCAAAGTTTGGCTCCAGATACGTACACTAACTACTGAGATATTGTTCTTAAACACGTTACTATGCAGAGGGAATAAATTCAGATCCTGGTCTGTGTCCTGTATCTGAGATGTGCCACATATGCTTGGGTTTTTCATTTTCTATGGAGGATATATTGTTTTTACCCAGAGACTGGCAAATAATATATCCTTACTTCTTTTCATCGGGGTAGTAGGTGAAGTTTTTCTAGTTTCTATTTCTAACACTGAACAGTTCTGGATTCATACAGAGATAGGAAGTCCAGCTTCAGGACCTGTCAAGCACCAAGTTCAGGTCACAGAGGTATGAAAACACCTCTTTGGACTGCTGGATTCCTGACATGCTACTCACAGTTCTGGCTTTAATTTCCTGTCTCATTTTTAACACCTGGGGATGTGTTTTTCTTTCTCTTTGTTTCTTTTGTTGATTCTTATTTTCTTCCCTTTATCTTTTTCTTCTTTTCTTTTAAAGTTTGGCTATGTACCTGAACATCTCTTTGAGATATATTTTACCCACCATTTGGATGTGCTTCTAGCTGGAGGTTAGACGCTTCTCTAACAAATTTTGGTCAGATTAATGGGGAAATCTTCAGATTTAATCACGGGAAATGACCCCCAAAATAAAAATAAATCAGAGTAAATAAGTCAAGAAAGAGGAAGAAAGAGTACACACACACACGCACAAAATCAATGATAAAAAGTGAACCTAGTAAAATATTTAAATAATTATTGATATCATAGTTGTAAATTTTAATGCAATTGTAAGAAAGGCAGAGTGGGAAAATGATTTTTAAAATAGATTACATAGGGTCTGAAACAACAACAAAATGAATTAAAACTTGAAATGTACTTCAGGTGATTTAAAACAAACTTAGCATTTTTGTTTGCGCCTTTGACCTGTTACTGATAGAAAATTTTAACCGTGTTTATGACCTCCTACTCTCCCCCCATGAACAAGAACTTTAGAACATTTTTATTACCTTTGTTTTCACCATGTTTAAATGTAAAAGGCATGTAATATTTCACTGTTGACTATTTTTAAAAATAGAACTAATAACCAATGAGATAAATGTATATACATAATGCCATCATTTTAAATTTTAAAGAAATTATCCCCCTTTTCTCCAGAACACCTCTCAGTTTTATGATTATTAACATCTGTGGATCGGGAGCCATGTCAAATATTTGAGATTTCCCAATTCGTGGACTTTGGTTTCCTGTTTTGCCATTTACTTTGGCGGGTCAAGAAAAGTTTGCAACCCTTTACAGGGAGAGATATACTATGCAAAAGAAGCTGAATAAATTTCAAGTTTTTTGCCTGGTTGTCATGCATAAAAATTGACCCAAATCTTTTTATGCTTATATGTTACTTAGTCCTTAGCAATCCACTTTTATTCAGTTGCCTTATGAAATTCTGCATCCACTGTACACAGAGTGGGAAAAAGGAATTTATTATCTCCATTTGTCCAATTTAGATGTTTTCCCCCAAGGCAGATTATGGATTACTTAACTTTATTGGGCAAAAAAAAAATTCAGCTTCAGCAGTAGTCAAATATATCATAGGCAGTTGTATTTAGGCATTAGGAGTGAAAAAAAAAAAAAAAAAGCTAAAGATTTCCCGTACAAATTTAACTACTTTGTTTATTGTTTTTACTTACTGTTTTTCCCCCCATCTTTGTCCATCCTTCCGGGAGGGCTAGCTGCATTTTCCTTATTTACCATTGTCCCCCTTATCCCTGGGGCTGAAAGGACATGTGCACAAACGCCGGGTTTGTTTTATTCTCAACCAACCACAGGACGGTCATTTCCCTGCAGAATAACTGGCTTGAGGAAGAAAAGACAGAAAACAAAACAAGTACATCATGTGCAGCGTGGCCTGACGACACCCCTTTTCAGAAGCTGGCCTGGGTTAAGAACTCTTGAGAGTAGGCACCAGTTTAAGGGATAAATGAAGTGGCAGTAAAGAAATTTCAATCGCTGCCTTAGGCGAAAAAAGAACTGCTTTGAAAGTGTTTCCCGAGTACTTCCTCTGATTCTTCTGACAGTAAGTAAAGCTCTGTTTTGTTGTGCTTTGCCAAATACGTGGGTGAACACTGCTAAAATCAATCTATTTTTCAGATGTTTCTAAATACTAATGTGTTTTATGCTGAAGACCTAATGGCAACATTTTTTTATTTTTTCCAACCAAATGTATAGATGCGAGAATAGAATATAAGAAAACAGTAAAATTTGTTTCTATGCTAGTGGAGGGAGAATTGTCTGAATGTTTTAATATGCAAATCTAAAAGAATTTAATTTTGAAGTTTCAAAAACTGAAAAAAAAATTTTTCTTTGTTGGTTTACTTGCAAACATTTGGGCAAAATTACTTTCCCATGCAATTTTT